AATGATTATTTTTCAAAGTTAAAACAAGAGGAGACTAAAGTGGACAACAAAGTCTTGATGGATGATCAAATGGACTCATTACTCCTAGGAAATGCCCCTCCAATCTTACAACCAACAAAACCAATCATGAACTAGTCATATACTCAATTGAAAACTGCACAGGTAAATTATAATTGAATTATTAACTTACATTTTTAGAATTAAAACTAGAATAACAATACTCCTCTAATTTAAATTGCTACAAACACTTAAAAGTAGCAATAATAGCCACCTTTGCACTCTCAAAAGCTGCCTTAATAGCAGTAATAGCTAATTACCTCCTAATCATAAAATAAGACTCAGACTTAGGATTTAAGTTAACCATCTTAGTACCAACAATAGCAGCAGTAAACTCAGATAGCATCTAAAAAGACTCAGAATCTTATATCAAGCAGTGCATTGCAAACTATAGAAGAAGATAAGGAAGAAGTAAATGGTACACCCTAGTTAGAGAAGAAAATGCCTTACTAGTTGGGCAAAAGTGATGGTGGAGCAATAAAGCAATTTGGTGACTTTGGATTAGGTGGGTAAAGTACCAAAATCAAGGGTAATCAGCCAACTGGAATAAACGTGGAAAAGAAGGAGAGCTTTGGCTTAGGAGGGTTAGGTGCATTAAATCTGAACGATTAAAAATAAGATGAAATCTAAAATGACTTTAAAAATATTTCATTTGGAAGCAAGACTTTAATGAAAGGTCCCTAAGATTTGTAACAAAGACCGGAAATTAAAAAGGAGGAATTAAAACCTGAGGATAAAACGATTGGTTAATTTTCTGGAATAAGCATACCAGTCAAGTCATAAGGATAAGTAAAACCAAAGGAAGAATAAAAGAGGCCAGAACTCAACACAATTATTGCACGTTAAAAGGATTAAGATAAAACTGGAGCTTAGTCAAAGGAAAAGGATTAGCTAGAACAAAAGCCAGCATCTTAAAACATCGTTGTATTCGGAACTTCTACTAACACTCTTCGTCCTTAATTTAATAAGTAAACTTCTCAATTAGCACCAAGCTCTTAGCCAAATAAGGTATTTGGAGCAGGAACATCTCTAGGATAATAAGCACCTGGTCTAACATTTTCATCAGTAAGCGGAGGAGGAAATATTACCACTGGAGCAACTAGTCTTTAAAATACTTAAAGTAAATTTGATTAAGTAATATATAAAATAGGTTAAACAACTCAGTAAACTTAAGGAACTAACCTTGGATTTGGTTCACAAAAAAATGAAGCTTCTTCAACATTTTAGCAACCTTAGATGTTCTCTACTTAAGGATCACTATTTTAATAACCTCAGAACATGTTTG